AAACATAATACATATTTCTTCCAATATTATCAAACATATGGTAGTTATATTCAATTCCCACCCCCCAAAAATTGGAGTTTAACGTTTGTAAGGCAAAGAGAATGTTGTAGTCAGAAGCAGTGTTACCAGAAAACTTACGCTTATAGCAAAATTCTTTAAAAAAAGCTAAAAATAGCTAAAAAAAAATTGTTTCATTGCCAAACAAAATAGCAAAAAATATTTTTCTTTAAGAATATCAAAATAAATTAAATAATTAGATTATTATAACGCAAACAAATATGAACTTAAATATTTACGTACATTGAATTGGAGTAGAAAAATTCCTTATAATTTTAGCTCAAATCTGCAAATCTATTCCTAGAATATAAAAATATACTTAGTTTAGTTTCACAGTTCCATTTCCATTTCGACGAACCAGGGAAGATATTACAGTATTTAAGGAAAAACGTTGTGAACAAAACTAGGCGGTTAATAATTTATAAAGATGAAACCTGCATTTCGATTACATACTACATAATTCCCCCGTGCTACAGCCAATTTTACACACAAATAAATCACGAAACCTTAAGCCAAATATAGGAAGACTGTGTTTACAGTTTTTCTCTTTAACGTCAGGATTTTTAAAGGACTTTGAAATTTGCAAAATATTATTTTAAAAAATTTAGTGCAATGTAAAAAAACCGTGTGGGCATCAAATTAAAGAGAAAAATCTATAGAACTAAGGCATATTATATTTTTTGGTGCTTAAGGATAAGTAAGTATTGAAAGTGTAGATCGTAGGGGCTAATATACACTCGACCACATCCTCGAATCTCGCTTAAAAAAAATTAAATTAGTTAAAAAGGCAATACCCATTCATCCCCGTAAAGCAAAAAAAAATTCCTATATTCTTAAATCCACAGAATTTTATCTTTCATTTGGTACCCATATTATTATTCTTAATTGCATTGCATTTGTTTGAATATTTTTTTTAAGTAATCAGATCTTTGAAATTACAAGGTCCTTTAAAACCCCTGACTTAGAGAGAAAAACTACAAACGCAGTTTTATTATGCCAGAATACCAATTTTTGTACAGTTTGATATTCATGATAATAATAAAACTCTGGGTAAAAATGGGGAAATTAAAAAAAAAATGCTAAAATAGCTAACTCGATTTGAAAAAAAAGCTAAAGAAGTAGCTATTAGCTAAACGCAAATTTCTATAACTAAACGTCGAAAATAATAGCTATATCTAGCTACAAAATACGTAAACTGGCAACACTGGTCAGAAGCAATAGTGTGTTCACTTTTTAAGAGCAGCTCTAAAGCAACAGTTTGCTATGCTTTTACTCTTCGCCACGTTTAAATAGATAAAAGATACAAAACATCGATATACCACATACATATGTATTTACGAGAGAGTTATCAGTGTTGTTATTACCACAATATAACCAGTAAACAACCTTCGGTGAATTTGGCGACTGCCTTCCTCGGGGATGAATATGCTAGGGATGAAATTATTGGTACACACGCCTTCCAAGCACGCAGGGTTGCTTTTAAGAAACAAAAAATAATTAACTCCAAATAGTTTCAAAAAGTATAGTGTAAAACGAAATTTATTGAATAATTCCATATAAAATGGTATACATAAATGACTCATTTTCTAAACGATTTAAATAAAACGCATTTCATAACCTTTTTTGTGCAAACGGCATTTGCGAATTGATAGAAAAGTACTACAGATTGTAAATTTTTGTTAACTATGAGGTGGATGAAAATTTTCAACCCGGCCTGACGGTTTTGAAGAATTTTTTTGATCTAATTTTATTACTAAGGCGTCTAATAACTGCATGGCTTTTAGTTCTAGAAGAATAAAAGTCAGTAAAGACAAGTCTTTTTTGTATAATTTCTGATTTTATTTGCTCAACTTCTTTTGCACCAGAGCAACTGTCAAAAATTTGCAGCAGTAAAAAGTTACGAATTGGCACCGCAATGTAAAATTTTCTCGCCATAATAGAAACGTTTTTTCAACATGGATCTTTTCTACTAATTGACATGAAATTACTATCTCAACGCTCAGAGCGCTGCCACTGAGGGCTTTTGCCAACTGATAAAAAAAGAGAAAATTTGGAAATACCAAACAAAAATTTTGAGATTTCTCCTTGTGAATACGAATGCCATAGTTTTCACCTGGCTAGTTGGGCTACGCAAAATTTTGACAGCTTGTAAATATGAATACACATAAAGTTGTTGGCGGTAATAAAGAGTCAAAATCAAAATGGAGAAAAGAACAAAAATCGTACGTTAGTTGTCAGTTATAAAATAAATCCAATTTATTTGCGAATATTTGTTTATTCTGTTTATTGAAAGGCAACTACGCGAAAAAGCTTGTGTTAATTATATTGATAACAGAACCTGGCAGCTCGCACGTTGTTTAAATTCTCAAGCAACATAAAATCCACAAAAGAATACATTGCTTGTCCATCAATACGCCATGTATAAATTTTAACAACACACAAAAATAGAGCTGTCGCACGAGCGTTTGTTTGGTTTTTCAACACCATTTATAATTTTCTTTTAATAAAATCACGTATTGTCAAATGCTTAAATTTATTTATCTAATAATAATGCAGCACACAACCCTGAAATCTAAGAAAAAGTCTGAGGAAGGCCATTAATATATGTGTGTGTGTGTGTGAGTGAGTGTGTGTGAGTGAATATAACTACAACAACAACGACTACTACAACAACAACCCAAAAAGGTTGGTTACTGTCTATACTGTGGTTATTACGTACCGTTGATGAGAACCTCTGCCATGGATAATATGATACGAAACTCTCTCAATTCGCTTCTAAGGTCGGTGTTATGCAGACAAACTTTTGTTTGCCAAATTAAATGGCGGCTGCTTAGTTTGCTCGGAGGTGGTTATGTCAAGTTTGGCACAGGGTTGCACGTTCATTATGGTTTTCATGGCTATTGCCAACACAAAATGAGAATTTCAGATGTACATAACGCGCACAATTAATATATTTTTTATGATATCGTATAGGCAATTAACTGTGCCCTAATCTTTGAAGCTCCTACAGCATAAATTCGTTCTCTGGCTCTCGGAATCACGACAATTTTTGTGTATAGCAATAATTGTCTAAAAATTTTGTATATGACAACACCGAATCTGCCGCAGTTTGACCAAACAAAATTAGTTTGCTGTGAGAGTTGCCAAACTCGCTCTCTCCGAGTTTGCTACAACAACAATTGCACGCAGTTTGCCAAACAAAATTTACCACTAGTCAAGTTTAAAATGCACCACTTTGAAATCAGGGGATTTATTTTAAATGCAGTTATAAAACAAGCGAAAGTGCAGCGTTTATAAGTAAAAATACCTTTACTCATTACTTAAGAATTTTATAAAACGCAAGCACAAAGCAGGAATTTAAATTTTTCGATTTTCGAGTGTTTTATTTAATAAAGGAAACTCTCCTACAATTTCTTAATAAATACCCATACATATATTTCGTGCAGTGGCACTATTAGAAGATGTTATGGAAAATGAACCTTTTGACAGCGCTCTCACAAGAAAAAGAGTTTCGTATCATATTATCCATGACCTCTGCACTATTAAGCTATATTTTGTTTCTTTTGTCTATTATTGTTTGTTGTGTCTATAATTAGATTAGATACTTGTTCAAAAGGTAGCCGTTATTGCAGCTCTAAAAAAATTTGGCGCTTACACATTCTTTAACTTGTTTGACGAAGCTTCTCTGGTTTAAGCTTAATCGTAAATTTTGGCGATGCTATTATCGATGACAACTATTCGATACCAAACTCGCAAAAGATTTCTCCCCAAAACCAGGATCTTAAAGCGTTATATTCTACGCTTCAATAGTTAAATCAAACGATAAGTTTTATAAAAGCCGTATTCTCACACCAAAACTTTGTATACATTCCTGCTGTAACCGCAGACGACGGTAGCTTTGCATTAGAAGACTCTGAAGGTTTGTGAGGACATCCCAAGTATAACAAGGCCTCTTAGTCATTCGTTCATGGCGTTCTGGAATATTCGCACTTCAGAAATATTTTGTCAAAAAAAAATTTATTCGGACGTAGTTTTTCCGAAGAAAAAAAAACGTCGTTTTAATGAAAATCCCATTTTTCTGCTTAATTGGACCTCTGCCGGTGATTTGAGTAGAAATGCGGTAAAGCCGGAACTTTTATAGACAAATTCCTGATTCTGTCTAGAGCCTGGCTGCATTTCTGTAACTGAGATTTTCTCGAAAGTGCCAAAATAGCTTCTAGCATGGAAATCTTTTCTACAGATAATCTATCACCCAATATAATCTGGGCAAGCTCTACACACAGAGAAAAAACATAAGTAATTTGAACAAAGTTGACTTAGTTGAACAATTTTGTATGGGGCCCAAGAAACTTGTGCGATCCAGCAAAGTTCTTATGCAATTTATACTCGACCGTGCAAAACAAAATTTAGTTAATTTATTACCTAAGCACTTTGGCTGCCAAAAAACGAGGTTGTTTTAACTAAGTTATCTTAGGTATTTTTTTTTTATATGGACTTCGAAAACTATGTGTAAATCAACAAGGTTTTTATACAGTTTACACTCGATCAGCAGAAACAAAGATTAGTTAATTTATCAAAGTTATCTTATGTACTATGTGTGAGCACCTAAGATAGTGTAATTCAACGAAGTGTTTACAAAACTTAACTAGGGTAACTTGGGTACCTTGTTAATTTAAGAAAGTATTCGATGTTAGCTTAGGTAACGTGTAAACGCCCTAAGATACTTGTTTAATTCAACAAAGTTCATGTAAAACTTAAAAAAGTTATCTTAGGTAACTTGCAATAGCACCCAAGAAACTTTTTTAATTTAACAAAGTTGTTGTAAAATTTAAAAAAGTTATCTTAGGTAACTTGCAATAACACCCAAGAAACTTGTTTAATTTAACAAAGTTCATGTAAAATTTAAAAAAGTTATCTTAGGTAACTTGCAATAGCACCCAAGAAACTTGTTTAATTTAACAAAGTTCTTATAAAATTTAAAAAAGTTATCTTAGGTAACTTGCAATAACACCCAAGAAACTTGTTTAATTTAACAAAGTTCTTGTAAAATTTCAAATCAAGTCAGCTTCGCGAAGACGGCTTTCGTTACCCTTCGTCATTGATTGTATTGAGCTGAAACTGAAAAGTCGGCAGTGCTTTATTGTGATTTTTTATTTCTTTGGTGATTTTTTAATTAAAATAGGAGTTAAAGCGGGTAAGTTAACACATACGGATATTTTAAATCAGACGATTGTCATGATACATTTGCCATCTAATCACTTTTTAAGGCGAAAACGATATTCGTTTGTTCAACTTAGATTTGACGTTGCATCAAATTTTAGATGAGTGGCCGCTGTACAAATACTCCAAGGCTCCTGAATTGGTATGTTTATATGTGAGATATACGGATGGGTAGATTCGATATTCGAAGCTTCGAGATTCGAATTTTAATCGAATTTTAGCTCCAAAATGGCGAATTTTTGAAATTCGGATAAAATTGAATTTAAAAAAGAATATCGAATTTCAACCTCCCACCACCTACCCCCAGTCAGATAAGTAAATTTAAAATATGTTATAATAATATTCTACAAACATTTATTTGAAGGTTGACATTGACTATAATGACAGTTTCCCGGGAAATGGGCTAAATTTTTCAAATTGGAATCATTTGTGTACAATCGCTTCGGATCTGTTTGAGTAAAGGATAAAAGATCCACAAACCAAGCAGCTTAAAAGCCGGGTATTCGGAAAGAAAGACGTATTAAATATAGGTAAATAAAAGTTTAAAATCTTCACTAAAATCAATGAAATAATTAAATATTTATATTTGTTAGACAATTTCAACATATATATTATGATGTTGTTGCATGCGGTTTTATTGCCTACTGCAAAAAATTTACATGGGCGTCACAAAATGCCTTCACAGTCTCAGTAAACCAATCTAGTGAAGTTGATCAAGCGATTGCAGAAAAGGGGAAACAGTGCCTAGAAGATAATTCAACCCTGCAACCGTTCGTCATTGTTGTGGGTGACGAATTTAATTTTAAGAATTTTTATGTCACATTAGACGGAATTAAATATTCATTTCATTCTTATATGGAGGCTATACAATATTGTTATAAATTAATGTTTGTGCTAAATTTAAAATATCCAGACGAATGTACGAATGTATGGATATTCGTGCAAAAATATTTGTTCAACATGAAAACGGATTCCACTCTCCCAGTAATTAATACATTGACAAACGACATTAATAACTGGACAAGCTCAAAATAGGTTAAGTGCTAAGACATACACTTTTGATCAGTTGATTAAGTCATCAACATTTTGATCAATTTTGGCTATTTTTCTTTTGTTTATTTAATGTATATTATTTTTCCATAAAAGTCGGGCTCATTATATAACAAACACCAAATAACTCCACAATTCAAACTTTGTGCAAAAATTATAAAAAATCTGCAAAGCTTCAGCTAGATATTCAACTTTTTATTCAGATTCTCTAGAATTTTTGTGAGTATGTAGTTTAATAGCCCATTAGATTCTAGGGTAATAATGTGCAAGTTTCACGTTGCTAAAAAATCGCGCTGATTTTTAATAATTTTTTTTTTTGACTACATTACAAATTGTTTTGCATAAAAAATATATTCGAACATTTTTTTTGTATGGAAAAAAATGTGTAATGCAGTAAAAAAAAAGTATTAAAAATCAACGCGATTTTTTAGCAACTTTAAACTTGCACATTGTTACTCTAGAATTTAATGGGCTATTAAACTACATACTCACAAAAATCTGAATAAAAAGTTGAAAATCCAGCTGAAATTTTGCAGATTTCTTATAATTTTTGCACAAAGTTCGAATTGTGGATTTATATGGTGTTTGTTATATATACGAGCTCAACTTTTATTAAAAAATAATAAACATTAAATAAACAAAAGAAAAATAGATAAAATGGATCAAAATGTTGTTGACTTAATCAGCTGATCACAAGTGTATGTAAATATGTACATATACTTTAAATGTATTACAAATGATACAGAAGTAATTAATTTAATAAATTGTTTCTAAAAAAGGCTAAAATAATTTCATTACTAAGGCTGTTACTAAATATCAAAATAGTAAAAAAGGACCGAGAATTCAGTTAATAGGAACAATTTAGAGCTTTGTTAACCATACTTTTTATATCTCAATTTAAATAACAAAAATATAAAGGGACCGCTCCCTTTTATGTATTATTTTTGTTGCTTAAATTGTGGTAAAAGAAGTGTTGTTGACAAAAATCTAAATTGTTCCTATTCACTGCATTATCGACATTTTTCAGGGAAAACTTTTGCAAATCACCAAAGAAATTTGGTTAAATATTACCTAAGTTATCTAAGGTAAAATAACAAGGAAGCTTTTGCAATCTACCAAAGCGGTTTGTTTGAATATTACACAAGTTATATAATGTAAAATAACCAAGTATTTATGCAAACTAACGTAGTGTTTTGGTTGAATATTATCTAAGTTATATGGCGTGAAATAACCAAGAAACTTTTATAAATAACCAAAGAGCTTTCGCCAAGGATTAACTTAGCCGACTTAGGTAAAATACGTGCTACTTTGTTAAATTTGCCCAAGAAGAAAGCTTACAAAGATTTTACTGAGTTATTTTGGTTACGATAACAAAAAAACTTAGTAGGGTAGTTTAGCCTAAGTTTTAAGTTGCGCTATACCCGAATTTAAGTTAATTTTACATAAGTTTTTCTCTGTGTGTAACATACAACAAGTAAGAGCAGCGCTGTCTTCGGCTATGCATTTGCACTGCATTTGAAAAAATATATGTATTCACAGCATATGTACATAGATAGAAGAGATACATGAAAAAAAATCATATCTAAACAATCAGAGGTATGGAAGATATACCTTATATAGCACCAATCCAAGTGATTTTCATTGCTTTGTCAGCGGTATGTAAACCGGTAACACAATTTAATGGGTTTAGCTTCCTACATAAAGAAGCCTTATCGCAAAAACTGGTATCTGAACAATCAGTGGTAGAAGAGATAAAGCTTATACAGCATAGATTTTAACGATTTTCTCCGTAGACTTTATATTAGTATTCATAAAATAGCTTACGAAATTTATCGGCTGTCCAAATAAAGGAGCTTTCAGTAAAACCCCATATCTGAACAATCAGTTGTATGGAGGCAATAAATAGGTTACAGTAACCCGATCTTTGTTAATTTTACTTTAAACTGCATAAATGGAGAAGTTACAACAACAAATCTCATATCTGAACAATCAGTTGTATGAAGGCTACAGATTATAGCGACCCGATCTTCGCCATTTGCACTGTAAGTATTTTTTTGATAATGGGTGGAGATATTGCGAATTTTCATGATCCTAGCTGCATAAATGGAGAAGTTAATACGAAAATCCTCATAACTCAACAATCAGTTGTATGGGAGATATCAGTTATAGTGAGCCGATCTTTGTTATTTTCACTGTAAGTATTTTGTTAATAATGAGTGAAAATGGTGCGAATTTTCATGTTCCAACTGCATAAATGGAGAAGTTATGGAAAAAATCTTATATTTGGACAATCAGTTGTATGGAGGCTATAGGTTATAGCGACCCGATCTTCGCCATTTTCACTGAAAGTATTATTTTGATAATGAGCGACAACAGTGCAAAATTTGATTCCTAGCTAATTAAATGGAGGAGTTATAACGAAAAATCTCATATCTGAACAATCAGTTGTATGGGAGCTCTATGTTATAGTGGTCCGATTCTTCCGGTTCCGACAAATGATTAATGCATTATAAAAATACACGAACCTACCAAATTTCATCCGGATATCTCGAAAACTGAGACTAGATTGCATACAAACAGACAGACAGACGGACAGACGGACATGGCTAAATCGACTCAGCTCGACGTTCTGATCATTTAGGTATACATTTTAATGGGTCTATCGCTTTATTCTGGTACTTATAAACATCGGATCTAAGTTAGAATACCATTTTATGCTCATGGAAGGTATAAAAACTAAGCAGAGGTAATCACTTCTGGTGCGGAACAGATTATCTTAACAACGGTTATCTCTCGTAGTGGCTACATTGGGACCACCCCCAAATATCACCAGTTCGGCTGCTAGATAGATTTTCTCTAGTATCTGTGCGACAGCCTTAAAAGGGGAGCCTTGACGGCACAGGATAGCTTATCCTTAAATAAATTTATCTTCTTAGAGCCTGAAATGGCTTCAGGATAATAGTTTCCATTTGCGATAATCACTTAACTGAAGTACTTTTTAACAGTGCTTGTATCCCAAAAAACCCTACCTAGTAATAAATCCTGCTGCTGGAAAGTTTTTTCTGACAAGGGTTGTCTTGATACCGTCTGGCATGTGGCAGCCACACAATATTAAACTATATGGGCACTGGGTATTTTCTCCGAAGCTAAACTGTTTATACCAGACAATCATTAGAGATTTTTATTTCTGCAGCTGGAAAGATTCTCCCGAAAAAGTGATCTCTCTTAATTCCAGGACTGGATCTAGCACTAAACACCTTGACTTGTGCAACTGTTCGTGGTGCTGTCTAGATATTCCTGATAATGATTTCCTTATCACCACCCGGGCAAGCCCTGGCAAGCGACTTCGATACTCAGATAGGTGTTAATTCGGCAAATATTCCTATAAGGTTGCCACCTATTCGAAATTAGTTATAAACTAAATAGCACATCATAATATGGGTATCAAATGGAAAGTGTTTTGAACATCCCCAATTTAGAAATATTTTTGAATAGGGTTGCCACCTATTCCTATCGTATATTTCTTTAATTTTTTGTTTAGAAAATTAATATACAATAGGGGTCTTCACGATCCGGTTTGAACACATGAAAGAACAACAAAATTATCCAATCATGCTATTTATGGTATCTATGCACCATTCCAGACAGTATGCACCGGATGGTGAAAACCCCTAACATTACTTTTTGCGGGTGTTAAAAGAACACTCTTAAGATATTAGTAGGTACAAATATGCTACTTATTTGCGATTCTACAAAATTTAACTAAAACAACTCAATAAGGATATCAAAGGAAAGGTATTTTTACGAACTTTAAAGGAGAAACATTTGCGTTGAGGGTTGCCAAGTTTTTTTAATACCAATTTGTATCTTACTAATGTCGACGAGCATTTTTTTGTAAGTATGTATATACCTATGCACAGTAAAATTGCACTAAAAATATGTACTTTTCAACCTATCGTATTTGTTAATAGGGTTGCCACCTAATTTTTGATGTCAAACATTTTTAGAAGAATTAGAAAGGCAGATGTCAAAAATGGCACCCTGAAATTGTGCATATGGAAACCATGCATACGAAATAATGCATATGAAAAAAACCGAAATAATGCTTATATACACTCTTTCGTTTGAAACCCGAAATAATGCATATGAGAAAACCCGAAATAATGCATATATGCACACTTTCGTTTGAAAACCGAAATAACGCATATGACAAAAACGAAGTAATCCATACATGCACAGTTTCGGTTCAAAACCGAAATAATGCATAGGACAAAAACCGAGATAATGCATACATGCACAGTTTCGACTCGAAACCGAAATAATGCATATGACAAAAACCGAAATAGTGCATACATGAAAACGAACTTCTTTCTGCGTAGGCTGCCTTCGGCCGCGCTTAGGGATTATAACCCTTACTAAAAAGAACTCTCCTTTCTGTGTTGCCGGAAACGAAGGGCGCAAGTGTTTTTGCGCAGAGCTTCTTTTAAAAATAAAATTTATTTGCTTCAAAAACATTATTTTTATAGAATTCTAAGGTACCGACTCTGCAAAATTATTGCGTACATTTTTTAATTAGCATTATTTTTTCAGAGTTTTTTATTTTTATTTTTTTTCATTGAATATTGACGTACTT